ATAAATCAAATGCTATTCTGGCGGTCGCCCCCCCCGCCCCCCCCCCCCCCCTGTATCCGCCACTGCAATTCATAGTTATACACCAATGTTGACAGGGCCCTATTGGCACATAACATTGAAACAACATTGATTCGACATCCAGACGTCGAACCAACGTTGAATCAATTTTGATTCATGTTGATTGCCGGATTTTCTCCTTCGGTGGTGCAGGTCTCACTTTTGATTCTATATACATTTTTCCAAATACTAATTACATAGCTCAGATGAGAGCAAAAATGCAATCTGTTGTTATAATTATCAGGAATAAGCCATATTTTCAAATGCATTCCGTAATCGGTGCAGACTCTCACGAAAGCTCTCATCATTCACAGGGCGAAATAACCCAGATTACTAAGGGGACTTGTGAGCCCAAGAGTGCACTAGTTGTATCTGAATACATTTTGTACCCAATTAAATTAATATGTAATTCCTTCCTTCTTTAACCACAAGAAGAAAGATTTCCAAGACAAGACAAATTTCTTCAATTAGAAGGACCAATATATATCGGGTCTATTTGCGACAATTTATTGCGAGTAAAACGATTAAATATAACTCCACTTGCGTCGTTAGTATGTCTGAGTTCTTTTAGCGTGACGTAATACTGAAATTATCCATGAGCTTATCAACAGGGCTTTTCCACGTTTTGTCTTCATACGTTTCATCAGTACCTCCCTGGATCTACCTGAATCTTTCCCATAGTGCGTGGCAATAGAATTACCTTGATTCAGCGCTGTGCTGTTGGTTCCAAAAAGCGTTTGACTTGGATTCACCAAGACATTACAGAGCATGGGGAACAGGATGTCATGCCCAAAGGGGCATGCAGTGATATCCGTTGATTACGAGGCATTCACCTCTAATTGGAAATGCGATCGCTGTAAGATGAGCTTCTCCTCCAATGATGGCAGATGGCGCTGCTGCAGCAAGTGTAACTTCGATCATTGCCTACCCTGCATGAAGGCAGTCGACTACAAGCCCAACCATTTACACACAGTGGCATATGTCACGTATGTGTGTAATGAATGTGGAAAAGGCTTCACGGGGGATCGGGTGTACTGCCCAACATGCAAAGTCGCTTATGATGTTTGTTATCCTTGCGCCTTACGTAAGATGACGGCAAAGGATTCAACAGTGGACGGTAATGGACGCGTGAAATCTGTGGTAATTAGTTCAACTCCATTTGCATCGGGAGCCACCCGTGATGCCTTCAAAGTGGATGCAACTATGGAGGACGGTAAGCTGAATGCGAGAATCTTTTGGTTTTAATAGTTATTCCACCACCGAGTGTTCAAATTTTGGTTGCTCATAATTTCACTCATTCGTGAGTGAGCTCCTTTTGCTGTTCATAGCAACTCTGTATTTTACACTTGCTAAGCTGATTATGATGGAGTCATATAAGGACCTCTTTTTAGTAGATTTTTCTAAAATGAAGTGTTTTTATTCTTTCAGGCAAAAAACAAGATTACGTCTTGAAGGCGTTTAAGCCCTTGTACTTCAACACAGGGATGGAGATGGACATTGTTGTCAAGATCCACTTGAAAGCTTACGAACTTGCTCTGGAGTTCAACAAGGAAATGCAGCTGAACCATCCAATTATTTTCAAGCGACCGATTCTTCATACAATGACTAGCACAGTCGAGAAAGATGGGAGAAATGTATTTGTGAAGGTGAGTCGATGAGATTAATGCGTGACGTATTCAGCTGTTTTACGGGCCTTGATCGGTATGGACGTACATCGACATCTTCAAAAAACACATAAAACCTGACAGATGCTGACATCTGTCGACTGTAATCTGCTAATGTATGTTGAAATACCATTAATATTTATAAGGGATCAGTATTAAAGAATACAGGATCTCATTTTTTACTCCATTATGCATTTCTGTGAAATTTCAAAAAAAGCAAAATGGTTTTTGCTCATAATCTCGAAGTCCAGAACCGCGCCAAAACCATTCATATCCAATTGGTGTCTCCCTTATATTCCCAATATCTTATTTAGCACTGATAACATTTTGCGCCAGGCCTAATATTTATCTACAATTGCTAGGCGTACAATGTCATGTAAAGGCAATTTGAAGAGCAACAATCGCGTTCCTTCCATGAAGGTTGTAGCTGCCCCTTCAATGTCACAGATGACGAAATGCAACGTTTAGAAACTTTAATGGATAATGTAACCCAGGAATTATACTTGAGATGGCTAACTTTTGTAAATGTTCTGATTATTACTCATCTCGATAGCTTGTCGGCTATGAGTAATTTTACACAGAGTTCATTACGTTTAATATAATGCGTTCTTAACGTGCTACCCTTTGGAGAAAGCCTGGCTAAGGGATTTTAGGGCTTGGCGCCCAATAAGTCCTTCTTCGTAGGGCAGCTGTCATGTTGGCCGCATTTCCTTACAGGATCTCTTCGGAACGAAGCGCGTTTTACGGCAGAACGAGGGTCAAATCAAGACACTCGTGACTAATTGCATCTATAGACGCTCCATATCTACAACAGAGACTCAACATCTAAATTAGAGGGTCTGGATCCCTTTTGGGTGTATGTCGCTCCGTTCATGTTACAGTTCGAATAGCATCGGTAGGCATACGGGCAAAAAAAAAAACTTCTATAAGAACCGGCCATGGTTTTGCAAAAAATTTTGCACGAAATGGGATGTCTCCGAGTCACTATCGCTGTGATTTGGTTAGTGAGTAGGGAATTTCACGATGCTGTGCTCCCTTCATCTTTCCCTCCAGGAAAACTTATCTTTGCCAGGCCTAAAGCCTCGAATGAACTTCAAGGTGTATAAATGTGCAAGACAGAGGCCTCTTTCTGGTCACGAATCAAGCCATGAAGTCTTCAATAGGCTACGAACGAACCAGATAAAGTGAGAACAGATACCACGGGCTGAAAAAATATGGCTCTCGCAGTTTCTCTTATGTGGGAGTGAATTTATAAATTTAATCGAAATCGGACAGAGTAATGTGTCATAGCTCCAAGGTTTCCATGCGAAATGATACCTTTTCTTCTTCCAGGGAGAAAAAGTGGCCCTTGAACCGTTCATTCATGGTCAATATGAGAAATTCAGCTCAAATTCCGGATTCATTCTTGATGGATACACGGCTCCAGGGGTCTTCACCCATTTCACATGGCACAAGACGCGAGAGCTGATTGTCTGTGATTTGCAAGGGGTGCGCCAAATTAGAGGCAACGAGCATGACGCATATTACTTCACTGACCCAGCCATCAATTCATTGAAGCAGAATTGGGGACCCACCGACATTGGAAAGCCAGGAATAATGAATTTCTTCAAGTTTCACAAATGCAGTAAATTCTGCAATACGTGGGCGAAACCTTCCCTTGGAGACCTCATCATAAGAGTGCCAGTTGTTCAAAGAACCACATATGCTGACCCTAGAGCCCCAGGCAGAGAAATGCCCCAACCAGGGATGGATACCGAGCTGTCACAAATGTTTGCTCAGTTAATGGCTGGAATGATGTTCACTGAAAAGCCAAAATAAGGATATACATTGTCATTAGCAAAAACCCAAGATTCAGAAATCCCCTGCAATTGCGTAATATTTTCATCGAAACCATCTTATTCCTCTATAGGTATATACTGTACATTTAAAAAGGAAATGGAGCATATTTAATATGGTATCCCCAAAATTTATTATTTCCGGTATGGCATATGAAATGGATGACTATTATTGATTCCTATAATCCAAGATGAAGGTGATTATGAGATGATTGTGCATAAGTGATTCCTACCTCATGTCCATGACTCTTCTCAACAATTCCTGGCCAGTTCTATTTTCTTCCCATGTCCAAGCTCGAGGATCGAAACTCGTGAAACTGTGTTCTCATAGTGCCTGGATAGTTTTAATATTCACTTTGGGAGTTGTGGAATGCTAAGGCCATTGAGGATATGTTGGGTCCATGAAATTGTCGGTTTGATCAGAAAACGCCTGGTATCCCTGCTCATTTTCTGGAAACGCATATCTTATATCGGAAGGGTATTTTTTTTAAGGAAATACCCTTGCGCTTATGGTGGAATAATGCCGTATAAATAATAAATGAAAATTGATGGAGGATATATTTTCACAACTATGTATTTGTTCTTACGAGTGTGAAGAGAATCCTTATTTCTTCTCTCTTGAAAAAAAGGGTTTGAGTTCCCCCAGAAAAATAGTCGTTAGTGATTTAACTCCCTCCTTCAGAGCGAGGAAATTCAAATTCTGTGAAGATTTTTCAATTTTCCACCGGGAATGCTCAGGATTCATTAGTACATTGTGCGACTAATTTCTTTGTGAATCCTGAATAGGAAAGTCCTCACTGCGTGAGAGATGTCACACAGCATCATCCCTTTCAAGTTGCATCGCACTGAAGATGCGCAATAGGACACTCTATAGCGAACTTCACTCACTGACCTTGGGGTAAGAATGTTCCATTCCTTCAATTATCCGAAAGGCTTTCGAGTCTATAATAGTCGATGCCATTATCTGAGCTTAATGTGCACTGTAAAAACTACCAACAAATATACCAATAATGTTCCCCATCCAGCTGTAGTTTATGGGTTAAAAAAGTGACCATCCCTTATATACAAGGTATGTTACCTTCAACAGTTACTCATTAACTATAACCTTAGGTCTTAAAAGTGTTACAGAAGCCCAGTTTAGGGGTTACAAGAAGGTTTGTTCCTTACTCCCGCCTAAATCGCAACCAATGCATTATCAGACGCTCTGCCTCCTTTCCACCACTAGAGCAATACATAGGGAATATAAAACTCCCTTAATGTGATAACATAAATGTAAATTCAATTTTCTGCTCAAGAAACACAAAACATTTTTGTTCAGGGGTATGTGTCTATGGTTTTTTAAATTACAAAAATGGTGATAACTTCAGAACGCAGCAAGATGGAGACTGGCTCTTCATCAGCAATGTAAATAAAATGCATATCATAATGGAATATTATGTGAAAATCTCCATAATTTTCAAAGGACGTACGTTTACGTGCATCGGGGGAAAAGTGTGAACTGCATCTTCATCACTGACTAGCCGACCCGTTGGAGATTTCCACGGCATTCTTCGGATAATTTACCTATCGGAATACCTGTATATATACTATGCTTGGGCGTCTGCATGTCCGCAATGACATGCGCGCATGCGCGGCGTCTTCTCTTGGTTCCGGGTGTCTGTCTCGCTCTCTCGAACTGGCACCTTCCCTCCGGTCATTGCGGCTGGAGGATCAATTCTCGAGAACGTAATAGCCTGGGGGGGGGGGGAGGAAGATAACAGATGGCAAGACGAAAGAAAAACAAAATTGTTGCCTGGAATCAATCCCAGGGCCTCTTACTTGACGGACACGGACTTTCCCTCTACCCTACCTAGCCAAGTGCTATCAGACTTTCTTTCTTTTCATGTCATCCATAACATTACAAAGAGAGAGATGCATTCTACGCACACCCCCCCGCTACCGATACAGACCCGAGGATCCGATACGGACTTCTCAGCAGGGACGCGTAGAACGCCCCCGTGTAATACACTTGGACTCCCCTTTCATCCTTTAAGGATGACTTCCTCGCCGGGATGGGATCTCATCATCATATATTTAATCAGATCGTATATTTATCGGGATCACCACTCCTTCATCAATCAGAACCCCGTTCTTTTATTGATCGGCATTCTCACGAGGGGAGTGACTCCCGAGAGTGAAAACGGCGGGATCCAACCTACATGGAACAGTAACCCTCGGATCGGAAAGACCCCGTCGGCCGTGTAGTGACCATCCCGTTTCTCTAGAATATGTTTCACTCATGGGCCTACATGAAAAGTGGTGGAGATGTACTTCATGTACTTCATCGGCGATGCGCATATCGTCGAGAGTGCTGCCCGATATGCCCGGATGAGAGTGCTGCCCGATATGCCCGGATGAGAGTGCTGCCCGATAAAAGTCCGTATCGTAGGCGGGAACACCCCAGTGAATAAGGAGGGGGATGCGCAAAACATACGATGTCAGAGCGGCTGCTGCACAGAGCGTTAATTGGGTCGCTGACTGAACTCGTGAATATCCGAATATGCGGGGCACGCTTAGCCTAGGCCGACCCAGAGTTCGTGGATGTCTTCCACACGTTGGGGTCTCCGTCTCGCTCGAGAGCGAGTAGTTTCTTTCGTGTCTTTGCGACTGTTGGATTCGTTCTTGAGAACGGGAGAGAGAGCGGCTGTCGCGTGGAGTGTTCAAGTACTAACTGAACTCATGGATTCCCGACTCTGTTCAGGACCGTAGAGAAGCGGGGGGGGGGGGGCAAAAATTTGCCGTGTCCCTTGGCCCCCCCCCCCCCCCCCCCCCCCCCAAGGAACCGGCCATACCGGATGATGTATGTGCTATTGTTTATTGGCCAAGCGTTCGTTCGCAATGATGAGTTCAAACACACTGAGTAAGTGTGTTTGAAGCGGCAGGGAAGGAAGAAGAGTAGAAAGGGGGGCCCTTACGTGAATATTGCCCCAGACCTCGCAATTCATTTTGTTGACCCTGATTATGTTACACGCTTAGCCTAGGGCAGAAATGTCAAACTTAATTAAGCTGGTGGTCGGATGAAACCCTTTAGGGGTGGTTGAGCCAACATTCGAACATATTGCACCAAAGTTTCAATTGCCAAAAGGTTGAAATAGTCTACGCTTTTTCAAACCAACTGTTGAAGAGGACTTTGCAGGCCGGACGAAATCAAATACTTGGCAGGCAGTCTGACACCCATGGCCTAGACCGACCCGAAGTACGTGGAAGTCTTCCACAGGTCATTCTCGAGAATGGGATGGAGGTGGTGCTGCTTTATATCGTTCAGAAGGCCGTTTAGGTTTAGGGCTGCTGGCTGAGCTCGAAAATTCCCGAGAAACAGTTCGTGGATTGGGGTACCTGTGTTTGAGCTTTCACGCGGGAAACCCCCCGCACAACATGTGGAGTCGCGTTTTCCTTCGTTCGAAGGAGAGTAACTCCAGAGGGTGAACGCGGCGGGATTCCATCAGAGTGGGAGAGAACAGAATGGCTTATTATTGGGTCGGAAGGATACCGCCGGTCTGGCAGTTACCATCGCGTGTCCATATATGCATGTTTCACTCATAGGCTTGCACGCAAAGTGGTGGAGATGGTCTTTATAGACGAAGCGGACTGGGTTGTGATCGATAGGAAAATGTGCCGATAAATGTTAGGGCGAAGATCTCACCACGGCCAGGGAGTCATGCTCCCTTCAGCGGGATGAAAGGGGACTCCAAGGGTTGTACGCGGGGACACGTAAAGAATGGGAAAGAGGGACTTCTGCCTATGGCGATGAGAGGGCCAATGAGCTTTTAGGCTGCCGAATGAACTCGAGATTTCTTGCTGAAGAGTTCGTGAAAGTCTTCCACCGGTCGGCTATTAATATTTAATTTGCTATTGGTACTAAGGGTTTCTTGATCAGCAGATGCTGATCTGATATACAGAGAGTTAATCTGACAGCAGTAAATTCTGAACACGGTGCATGCAAATTCCTTGACAGTTTTGATTTTTAAGAGGCAATTTTTGCTAAACTGCACCATTCTCAATCAGCACTCCTCTAGTGAGAGGTTCTCAAAGCAGTTTCCTTCGAAATTTGTGTCTTATTTACAGAAATTTTTGCAAGAAACTCAGTGGCCATGTCTGCGAATTCAAATGAGAAAGCTAAGAGGCGAAGAGTAGCCTCACTATGGAAACCAAGTTGAAAATTATTGCTGATTTGGAAGCTGGCAAACGAGCAGCCGATATCGGACATGAACAGGGAATACCACCTACGACAGTAAGAACAATTGTAGCTGAGTAACAAAAATATGAAAAAGTTGCACAAGTCTTCTTGTCCCCCAATACGACATCGATCTTACAGCCCATGGACCAGAATGTGATTGCTAATTTCAAACTATACTACCATATGATCACATTCGCTAAATGCTTGGAGGCCACTGATGGAGAAAATAGGCCCACTTTAGGGGAATTTTGAATTGGCTTCAACGTGAAGAGCGCAATTGGCAACATTGCAATCGCCTGGGATGAAGTAAGTTTTCTGTAGGAATGCTGCATGGAGGAAGTTATGGCATGAAAGTTTCGCCGATTTCCCTGGATTCCAAGAGGAGAAACCCGAAAAAAAAATCCAGGAGAGGATTGTTGAGCTGGGTAACCATTTGGGCGTGGAATTAGAGCCCTCTGATGTTGAAGAACTATGAAGGCACTGATTGAAGAGCTCAGCACTCAAGACCTGGTTCAATTGAGTGAATTCAAAGCCACAGAGGAGTCATCTGATGAAGAGGTGGAGAAGAAGAAGCTAAGACCTTCGACACTGATGGATTTTGTTAAACATTGGGAAGCAATTCAGAGTTTTTAATGAAGACCTGAATGCAGAGAGATCCTCCAAAGGCATTAGGGACGTGGAAGCTGATCATCGTTGCTACAAGGAAGTCCTGAATGAGAGGAAGAAGGCTAGGATGCAATAAACTCTAGATTCTTTTGCATGAAGAA